AGAATGCTGCATGAGGTAAAGAAGAATCCCAGAGTGTCAGCTAAAAACCTACATAAATCTCTGGCACATGCTAACATTTTTGTTGACACATCTACAATAAGGAAAACATTAAACAAGAATGGAGTACATGGGAGGACACCACGGAGGAAGCCATTGCTGTCCAAAAAGAATATTGCAGCATGTTTGAAGTTTGCAAAAGAGCACCTGGATGTTCCACAGCACTACTGGCAAAATATACTGTGGACAGATGAAACCAAGATTGAGTTGTTTGGGAAGAACACACGACACTATGTGTGGAGAAAAAAAGGCACAGCACACCAACATCAAAACCTCATCCCCACTGTAAAACATGGTGGAGGGAGCATCATGGTTTGGGGGCTGCTTTGCTGCCTCAGGGCCTGGACGGATTGTTGTCATTGATGGGAAAATGAATTCCACAGTTTATCAAGACATTTTGCAGGAAAACGTACGACCATCTGTCCGCCAACTGAAGCTCCGCAGAGGATGGGTGATGCAACAGGACAATGACCCAAAGCATACAAGTAATTCAACAAAACAATGGCTGCAACAGCACAGAATACGCCTTCTGGAGTGGCCCAGTCAGAGTCCTGACCTCAACCCGATTGAAATGCTGTGGCATGACCTTAAGAGAACGATTCACACCAGACATCCCAAGAATATTGCTACACTGAAACAGTTTTGTGAAGAGGAGTGGTCCAAAATTACTCCAGATCGTTGTGCAGGTCTGATCTGCAACTACAGAAAACGTTTGGTTGAGGTTATTGCTGCCAAAGGAGGGTCAACCAGTTATTAAGTCCAAAGGTTCACATACTTTTTCCTCCCTGCACTGTGAATGTTTACATGTTATGTGCAATTAAACCATGGCAACATCTAATGTTTGTGTAGTATTATGTTCAGCAGACTGTGGCCTTCTATTGTTGTGACTTAGATGACGTTCAGAGCACATTTTATGCCCAAATTCATGCAAAACTCCACGTAATCCCAAGGGGTTCACATACTTTTTCTTGCAACTGTATATACCAGAGGCTTGTGTATTCTTACTTGAATCTTGGTATGCTTTGCAGTGGCGTACTTACAGGGGTGCAGTATACACCAGCATTTTGGAGGTGCTTGATCATTTTTTCTTTTGCACCTTTCAACTTCCACTGTCAGACAGGGAGAGGCGCTATAGAGCTAGTTTGACTGCAGTACAGAACTTCCCTCTCTCTGAACTGTCTACATCTGGTAAGGAGATGTGCACTAAGGCTAGGTTTACAAACATGCAGTTTGTATTTGATCCATTTCTGCAGTGCTTTTGAATTTTTTTTTACCAACTTGTTGCTGGTCAGATTAAAACGCAAAACACATAAAAAATGCGTCAAAAAAGCACTACATGCCTTTCTGCAGCATCTCCATTTAAGTCTATAGAACCAAAAACGCAATGTTTTGCATTTAAATAAGTCCCTGATCCTTTCAAAAAAACGCACTGGGTGAAAACGCAGAGATCTGAATCTGTCCCATAGGAAATCATGTTAAATGGGCTGCTGTGTGTTTCTGCAAAACGCAACGGAAAATGCATAGGTGTGAACCTAGACTAAAGAGAAATCTGCAGGGCAGGAGCGGACTGACAACTCATGGGGCCCCCGGGCAATAGGGGATCATGGGGCCCTTGTGTCCTTGCCCAAACTCAAAAAAAACCTATGAAAAAGGTACCAGGGGCATCTCATGGGGCCCCCTACATACCCCGGGCCCTCGGGCAGTTCCCGAGTTTCCAAATGGTCAGTCCGCCCCTGCTGCAGGGAGTCTGTACCTCGGGGGTCTGTACTTAGGGGTGTCTGTACTGGGGGAGCCTAGACTGAGGAGCTCTGTACTGTGCGTGTCTGTACTAGGGGGCTGAACTGAGGGGTTGTCTGTACTGAAGAGGGTCTCTACTGTGCAGTGTCTGTACTGAGGTGGCTCTGTACTTGGAGGAATCTGTACTGGGAGAGTCTGTACTGATGTGGGGTCTGTACTGGAGGGGGGTGCCTGATCTGGGAGGGGTTATAACGTGGTGGTGCCTGTACAGAGTGGTCTCAGTACTGAGAGTGGTCTGTACTGAAGAGGTCTGTATGGAGGGGTGGACCTGTACTAAGGGGCTGTACTGTGGGGGTGTCTGTACTAAGGGGCGTCTGTAATGAAAGGGGTCTTTGCTGAAGGGAGCTGTACTGAGAGGTATCTGTACTGAAGGCAGGCCTGTGCTGAGTGTCTGTAGAGAGGGAATCTGTACTTGGGTTGTTTGTACTGTGGGGTGTATATAGGGGACTCTGTACTGGATAGTGTAGGGCATAGGTGTCAAACGGGTGGACCTCCAGCTGTTGCCAAACTACAAGTCCCATGAGGCATTGCAAGATTGATAGTTACAAGCATGACTCCCAAAGGCAGAGGCATGATGGGACTTGTAGTTTTGCAACAGTTTCCAAATGGTCAGTCCGACCCTGGTTAGGAGTCGACTTCGCTGCTACACTTGGTGCAAGGCATGTAACAAAGGAAAGTCCTCTACTGTCTGCCCATTTCATCCGACACTCTGTTATGTCATTTTGGCCGAATTCCAATCCAGAGCCACCCCTGTCCCAAATTTGACCAATCTTATAATTTCGGGTAACACTTGCTTTACCCTAATAGAGATTGCAGAAGGTCGAATTTGCCACTTGACCCAATTGGGGTCAAGCAGAGGAGTGAGCTTTTTTCTCGTGCTTCTCAATGTGATAAATCGATGATGGTCATTAACTTCACTCCCACTTGATGGGCTCGAGTCTGTTGCCTGGCAATTTCCAACACTTTTCAAACTTTCTCCTTGTCCCACCCACTTGTTTCTCCTTAAAATGCAATAAATTCTGCAACAAAAACGAACATCTGGAATAGTAAAATAGTCTGAAAAGTTGAAATGTAAAATATCTGCTAGAAGCCCTCATCCCTTTCTTTGCCTCTGATGTCAGGCTTAAAGTGTTACTAAACCCACAACAGTAAAATCAGTCTGTATATGCAGTAATGCATTGCTTGTTATACTCACTGTGGAACCTAAGGGGTTAATCCTCCGCATTGTGTAAAAAGGACATTTGATCCTCTCTTTTCTGATACTCCCGTTCTTCCACAGTCTCCAATATATCTCTTGACAGAACAGAGGCTTGGAGGCAAGCTGCACATGCTCAGTTTGGTGTGTTTTTTTTTTCTTGGGAGAGTTAAAGTCATCAGCACAGGACCAATCAGCACTGTCCAGACAGAGGGTCAGGGGTCCTGCAGCCTCACAGGACAGTCAGAGGCAGGGGCGGACTGACCATTTGGAAACTTGGGCACTAGGGGAAACCAGGGTCAGTAGGGGGCCCCATGAGATGCCCCTGGTACCTTTTTCATAGGCTTTTTTGAGTTTGGGCAAGGACACAGAGGCCCCCATGATCCCCTATTGCCTGGGGGCCCCATGAGTTGTCAGTCCGCCCCTGGTCAGAGGAGAATGAAAACTCCTCCTCCAAGCTTTAACCAGTGCACTGCTGGACACTGATAGAAGTCTGCTATATACTGCTAATGGGAAAAAGTATTTACTAAAATAATTGCATTTCCATGTTCTGTGTACTGTTAAGTTAGATGGGTGTAGTGAAGAATTGTGCCATCATCCCAAGCAAAAATATAAAAAAAAAACCCTCTTATTTTGGTGGGATTTTAAAGGCACACAAATCTATATCAAAGTTTAGTTTATATAAAAAGTTTAATCAATTTTTTTTATTGTACAAAACAGCAAGCAGTACTGCAGATTGCAGTTTATATTTACTAAAAAAATCACTATTAGAGAAGGGTCACTTTAATAGGTTCACTCATTAGCGCACCAAGGTATGGTAGTAATAAAAAACTGAGCACTTGAAAAAATACTGAGCATAGTTTTGGGAAACATTCTGCAAGCAAAGTAGGCATTCATTTTGCTTTTAAAGTGTTACTAAAGCCACAACAGTAAAATCAGTCTGTATATGCAGTAAATCATGCTTGTTATACTCACTGTGGAACCTAAGGGGTAATCCTCCACAATCCTCCTGCGTAAAATGGCTGCTTGATCCTGTCTTCTCTGATCCTCCCCTTCTTCTACTATCCCCAATCAATCTGCTGATAGTACAGAGCTCTAAAAAGGCCCTCTGCACATTGCTCAGTTTAGTGCGTGTGGCTAGAGAGTTTTTTTTCTTTGGGAGGGTGCATGTGAACAGCACAGGGTCGATCAGCACTGTCCAGACAGAGGGTCAGGAGTTATGCAGTCTCATAGGACAGTCAGAGGAGAATGAAAGCTTCTCCTACAAGCTTTAATCAGTGCTCAGCTGGACACTGATAGAAGTCACAAGACTGTTATATACTACTGATGAGAAAAGGTATTTACTGAAAGTGCATTTCCATGTTCTGTGTACTGTTAAATTAGATGGGTGTGGTGAAGAATAGTGCCATCACCCCATATTAAGCAACAATAGAAAAAACCCTCTTATTTTGGTGGGATTTTAAAGGCACAAAAATCTATATCAAAGTTTAATTTATATAAAAAGTTTAATCGATTTTTTTATTGTCCAAAACATTAAAAAATTTCCATAAACCCACAAATACAGGTGGTTATACATACACATCAATCACACTTAAGAGTCGTGTTATGACTTGAACCCCGCTTTGTGTTTGTATATAATTTGTGATTGATGTGTATGTATAACCGCCTGTATTTGTGGGTTTATGGGAATTTTTAATGTTTTGGACAATAAAAGAAAACGATTAAACTTTTTATATAAACTAAACTTTGATACAGATTTTTGTAAGAACAAGAGAAATATCTGGTGCACTAAGAAGAAAAAAAAAAAACAGATGTATACTGTGATGGCTAGTATATTATGTCTTTAAAGTCCAAAGGTGGCTAAGGGATATTCCAACAATGCATGAATCAGTGGCAGCCGATTCAAAAAGAGCTAGAAGAGACTCTGTGTCAGGGGCGGACTGACAACTCATGGGGCCCCCGGGCAATAGGGGATCATGGGGCCCCTGTGTCCTTGCCCAAACTCAAAAGAGCCTATGAAAAAGGTACCAGGGGCATCTCATGGGGCCCCCTACTGACCCCGGGCCCTCGGCAGTGCCCAAATTTCCAAATGGTTAGTCCGCCCCTGGGCACAAAGGAGTGTGACATTACCACCTACCATCCCACCATACAGTATATAACATGGATATGGATAACTGTTTTAAGAAGATTAAAAATCCTAAACATTTATTATATACCGTACTTACCTTTACCTAGTAAAAAATGTTGTACAGTCTAATTTAAAAGCATGTTTCTGTAAATCATGGAGATACTAATTTAAAAGAATATAACCTATTCATATGTCCAGGTAAACAGCTACAATTAGCAAAGTCATTTGTCCAGTGAATCTACATGTACATTTGTTCTGTGTGAATTGGGCCGAAATGTTCTTTTATTATGGGCAGTGGTAAATTGCAGCATTTATGACCACTATCTGGAGCTGAGGAGCATAGGAAATGCATGCAGTATATTACAATTCATTACAAGAGGGTTAGGAGGACCCTGATCGTGAGAGCTTACAATCTAAAAGGGAGGGACCATTTCCAAATGGTCAGTCTGCCCCCCGCTCTGTGTGAACCATAAAAGAGAGAGAAGCAGCGCCATCTAAGTGCAGCAATATAAGCAAATCATTTGTTCCACAAAATTGGCAGCTCACAATAGTAGTAGTCAAATGATTGCTTGTCGAGCTGGTGTCAACCGCTGTGCAATTCCTGGCTGCTCCTACTGCAGGCAAGTCTCCAAAGCACTGTCCTTGGCTGTGCTGGTGGTTCTCAGTACATTCCCGGTGGATCCTCATGGCAATAGGCGTGGCATGTGTTCAGAACATGCATGCTCCTTCATCAGGCCAACATGGTACTGTACTGGGAACCACCAGCAAAGCCCAGGCCAGTGCTTTGGAGACTTGCCTGCAGAGGGACCAACCAGGAGTTGCACAGCGGTTGACAAGTGCTCATTTGACTACTACTATTGTGAGTTGCCAATTTTGTGGAATAAATTAGTTGCTTTTATTGCTGCACTTAGATGGCGCTGCTTCTCTCTCTTTTATATATACAGGTTTGTGTGCCTTTAGGGCCAGTTCACACTATAGAAACGCAGTCCAGATGCGTTTCGGATGCATTTTTGCATGTGCTTTTTTATGCGTTCCAGTGCATTTTGATGCATTTTTTTTACCTGTTCCAGTGCGTTTTTTATGCATTCCAGTTAATTTTTGTCCCTCTCATTTTCTTCAATTTGAATAGGGACATGTGCGTTCCAGTGCATTTTTGTGCGTTCCAGTGTGTTCTGGTGCGTTTTTGATGCATTTTACCAAGTTCCAGTACAGTTCTATGCAGAAAAAATGCAACATGTTCTACTTTTTTTTCTGCAACCAGAATGCACTGGAACTGCAAGCACTGATGTGAACTATGACATTGACAACCATATAACCTACTTTCTGTGCATTTTGGATGCAGAAAAAAAGCACTGAAATGCATGTAGTGTGAACTGGCCCTTAAAATCCCACCAAAAAAAGAGGGTTGTTTCCTACTTATGTTCTGTGTACTGTGGGAGACCATATATAGTGAATGCAGGGTTTGGGCAGGGCGGACTGACACCTCATGGGGGCCCCCGGGCAATAGGGGATCATGGGGCCCCTGTGTCCTTGCCCACACATAAACTGCACACCCAAAAAAGCCTATGAAAGGTACCAGGGGCATTATCATGGGGCCTCCTACTGACACCAGGCCCCTTGGGCAGTGCCCGAGTTCCCAAATGGTCAGTCCACCCCTGGGTCCGGGTTTAGTAACACATTAAGGGCCGTTCACACTATAGAAATGCAGTCCAGATGTGTGTTTTTGCATGCACGGTTTTGATGCATTTTTGGTGTGTTCCAGTGCGTTTTTTATGCATTCCAATTCATTTCCCCTCTTTTTTTCTTCAAATTGAATAGGGACATATGCGTTCCAGTGCATTTTTGGTGCATTTTGGTGCGTTCTGCTGTGTTTTTGATGTGCTTTACCGCACTCCGGTACAGTTTTGTGCAGAAATAATGCAGCATGTTCTACTTTTTTTCTGCAACTGGAACGCACTGGAGTTGCAAGCATTGATGTGAACTAAGACATTGACAACCATATAACCTACTTTCTGTGTGTTTTGTATGCAGAATAAAAGCAACTGAAATGCATGTAGTGTGAACTGGCCCTTAAAAACCCACCAAAATAAGAGGGTTTTTTCCTATTTATGTTGTGTGTACTGTGGGAGACCAGATATAGTGAATGCAAGGTCCGGGTTTAGTAACACTTTAAGGGCCAGTTCACACTATAGAAATGCAGTCAGATGCGTTCCAGATGCGTTTTTTGCATGCGCGGTTTTTGACACACTTTGGGCACATTCCAGTGCGGTTTTTATGCGTTTTCGATGCATTCCAGTGCTTTTTTTATGCATTCCAGTTCATTTCTTCCCCCTCTCTTTTTTTCTTCAATTTGAATAGGGACATGTGCGTTCCAGTGAGGTTTTGGTGCATTCCGGTGCGTTTTTTATGTGCTTTACCACAGTTCTGTGCAGAAAGAATGCAGCATGTTCTTTTTTTTTCCGCAACTGGAAACACACTGGAACTGCAAACATTAATGTGAACTATGACATTGATAACCATATAACCTACTTTTCTGTGCGTTTTGGATGCAGAATAAAAGCAACTGAAATGCATGCAGTGTGAACTTGCCCTTAAAATCCCACCAAAATAAGAGGGTTGTTTCCTATTTTATGTTGTGTGTACTGTGGGAGACCAGATATAGTGAATGCAGGATCCGGGTTTAGTAACACTTTAAGGGCCGGTTCACACTATAGCAATGCAATCCAAATGTGTTTTTGCATGCATCTTTTTTACGCGTTTTTGGCGCGTTCCAGTAAGGTTTTTTATTCATTCCAGTTCATTTTTTTCCCCTTTCTTTTTCTTCAATTTGAATAGGAACATGTGTGTTCTAGTGCATTTTTGTGCATTCCAGTGTGTTTTGATGCATTTACTGCATTCCAGTACAGTTCTGTGCAGAAAAAATGCAGCATTTTCTACTTTTTTTTCTGCAGCTGGAACGCACTGAAACTGCAAACACTGATGTGAAATATGACATTGACAACCATATAACCTATTTTCTGTGCGTTTTAGATGCAGAAAAAAAGCAACTGCAACGCATGAAGTGTAAACTGGCCCTGTTGCTTATCATGACCCTCACACACACTTTGTTCATTTTTTTAAATAATAAAACAAATGTTATAATTATTACATTTTTTTTTATAAAGGAAGTCAGGGGGGGGCAAGTGCCCCTTTAGCCCCCTTATAAATCCAGCTCTGAATACAGCACAGTGATGACGTCACTAAACACTTTTTTTATTGTAATATCTGGGTTTGCACAAATATTTGTGGCACACAGAGTGGGTTTTATCTAACCTGTGGCTACTGGGGGATTTATGAAGCTTTTGTTCCCAGGCTTCAGGTTCTTGCATCATTCAGGCTAGTATTAGTAAGTTTCTGGCCATTCCATAGAAATCCCTCGTCCTAGCAGCCAAGCCTGCACTCTCCAATGGCAGACAATAGGGGAAGCCGGGAAGAAGCAGCGATCAGAGATGCTGACAATGGCAGGTCCCCGCCCCCTCCCGCAGCCTCCGAGCTGTGAATGGGGCTGCAGTGACAGCAGTCAGAGGAGACACTGAGCGAGGCTGAGCTCTGGGGGCTGCACAATACATCGCCACTGCCTAGGGATCAGCAGGAGACAAGCCAGCTCCAGGATCAGCAGCCTCTTCTATGTACTGCATCGCCTAATTCCTCTGATTGAGAGTTGATGACAATTCAGACAAGTTTTGTGGGGTCTTCAGGATCCAGAGCAGGGAGGACAGTCATCCAGGTAAGACTGATGAAAGTAGAGGAAAGTTTCCAGCGCAGCCTGGGGCACAGATCTTGTATGGTGTATGCCCTGTGATCATGGCATCTTCTTGTTAGTGAGTAATAAACCTGATTGTGGTGGATTGTGGTTTGCAGAAACTTTGCTGATGATGTAGTTCTGGGGGTGATCCATGCATTGCATTCACTCTTCTAGCTGGATGATTGACACTTACTTCTATTGGTAATGATTGCTGATGTGCTGACCTACCTCTTCTGCATTGATTGGTGTGAATGTGATGGATGAGCCTCTTTTGGCTCACTACTCAGCTACAATTCTTAGCCCACATTCATGGGTTTTCAATAACAACGGGGGATGGACAAAGATTGGCGCACAAGAAAAAGGCCCTGATTTCCATATGCATGCTTATTTAGCGTTTGATGGTTAAATGAAGAAATGTTTTGCTGTCCATCCATAGACCTGCGCCGCTCCCTCCTCACTGCGCCACTCGCTACGCTTTGTCTGGTAATGGTGCGCATTTTACAACAGTTTTTAACTTTGGCAAAAGTGCATGTTTCACTTGGGACGTTAACAGGAATCGTCACATATCACTTTTAGGGCTCATTCACACAGATGGCCAAAGGGGCCATAAACATGGCGAGTGAACTGCGCCCCATAAGCTGCCACGGTGGCCATACAGGGTTGTATACAGTCTGCGGCTACAATTCTGATCCGTATCTATCCGGGAGGGCAGTACTACCACCGAACACAACCCATTCCAGTGAATAGGGCCACACTGCTGACTTTTCAGGGTTAAAACAGGTGGTGACGGGGCGCTATAGCCTCCCAGACACTTGTCAACCACCCTCTGAAAAGTGATCCACTGTGGAGGGGAGGCGACGACAAAAAGTGCTTAGGCTGTCCAAACTCTTTACAATCTTGTATGGTCTTCTTTAGGGCCAACTTACTCTTTAAATCTTGTACAGTCTTCATAATGACCAGCTTACTGTTTACAATCTGATTGTAGTCTTCTTAAGGGCCAAATTACACTGTACAATCTGATTGTAGTCTTCTTTAGGGACAAGTTACTCTTTACAATCTGATTGTAGTCTTCTTTAGGGCCAACTTACACTGTACAATCTGATTGTACAGTCTTCCTCAGGGACAAGTTACACTGTCAATCGGATTGTACAATCTTCTTTAGGGCCAACTTACTCTTTACAATCTGCTTGTACAGTCTTCTTCAGGGACAAGTTACACTGTACAATCTGATTGTAGTCTTCTTTAGGGCCAACTTACTCTTTACAATCTGCTTGTACAGTCTTCTTAAGGGCCAGCTTACACTTTACATCTGATTGTACAGTCTTCTTTAGGGCCAACTTACTCTTTACAATCTGATTGTACAGTCTTCTTAAGGGTTACTTACTCTTTACAATCTGCTTGTACAGTCTTCTTAAGGGTTACTTACTCTTTACAATCTGATTGTACAGTCTTCTTAAGGGTTACTTACTCTTTACAATCTGCTTGTACAGTCTTCTTTAGGGTTACTTACTCTTTACAATCTGATTGTACAGTCTTCTTTAGGGCCAACTTACTACTTTACAATCTGATTGTACAGTGTTCTTAAGGGCCAATTTACACTTTAAAATCTGATTGTACAGTCTTCTGTAGGGACAACTAATGCCCTGTACACATGATCAAAAAATCGGATGACAAAATTCACTTTCGGATCGTATCATTAGTACACAGCTTTCAACTGCCGATCACGACAGTTCATGCGACAATATTCGAAGGAACAAGCACAGAAATGTTTCTCGTATGATAACAGCTCGGATGATTTTTGTTTAATCAGTACAGTATTTGTCCGAAAAAATCGAGAGACCAAGACCACGCATGCTCAGAAACGAAAGAATACATTATAATGCAATACAATACATTACATCGCTTCCAAAGTTGTATTCTATCGTAACTTTAGTAACCTCTTTATTTTTGATATGAGACTAGCATGCAACAAAAAATGAACAATAGGTCGTCCGATTATCTGATTGTGTGTACTAGGCATTACACTTTACAATCTGATTGTACAGTTGTCTTTAGGGACAACTTACACTTTAAAGTCTAATTGTATAGTCTTTGTACAATGGACTTTAGATTTAATGAAACTATGTACTATGGGGACCTACCTAAGTTATACAGTCAAGGAGACACTTGTACCACATAGTTGTTGGAAGATCTAAAGGAGATTATATAGTCAGATTGTAGTGTGTGTGGTGATCTTAATCCCTGGTTCGTACTGATGCGGCTTGTTGGCTTGGTCATTCAAATCGCATGACAAATCTCACCCGACGATCGGTAATGGAACCGTTCTAATCGGTGCGTCTCTAACGAAGTCAGAGTTGCACCAAATTGAAAAGAAGTTCCTACACTACTTTTGCCAATTTCAAGTGCAACTTGCATAGACATCTGTGCACAAAGTCACACAGATATCTGCAAGTCGCACCCGAAGTTGCATTGACGTGACTTTAAAATTGTGCGATTTCAAGTGAAGTTGCACGATTTCTAATTTGCATGCCTGAACGGGGGGGGGGGGGGGGGCTTAAAGTGATTTGGTGTGGCTGGTGCAACAAACACATAGAACTTGTGTAACAGCTTTGTTGATTTGATGTCTGGAAAATGTAATTATATTTACATTAAAATCCCCCCAAAATGTCAGTCCGATGTAACGCCACTTTGAGACCAGAAGGAATGAACGTTCTTTAGGCTGGCCATACATTATACAATTTTCTTTAGAAAATTGCTTTAGATTTACCAAAAACCATATAATATGAGGTCAAACCTAAACAACACTTTCAATTGTATCTAATTAGGCAGGCTCTTGCACTACATAGTTTAAGGTAAATCTAAAGGAAATTGGACAGAAAATTGTAAGAAAATTGTATAGTGAATGGCCAGCCTTATTAGGGTTCATCCACACCAGATGGGCTGAGGTGCGTTGTGGGCGCGTTCCGAATGCATAGCAATAAATGCAATGTCTATGAATACAGTTCATGCCAGCACGGCGGCATTTTCCCGTGCTGAAAAAAATAATTACAGCATGTACTACTTTTTTCAGTGCAATATTCAAATGCATAAGCAACATGCACTGGAAAGCAAACAAGGCATAAAAACCCAAAACCAAAATGCATGTCAACATATTACAAAAAATGCAGTGCCCCGCAACACGCATGCGTCGCAGTGTAAATGAGCCCTAACAGTTACTGTTGTCTGAAGCTGTTCTTTTATGTGGCTGGTTGACTTTTGTGACTCCTTTGTGCACTGCTCATGAAAGATTGGATTGTGCTCCTTGCATGTAGGCATCATTGGAAGTAGATTGGTGTGTAAGAAGAGACGACACCAGTTGGAATGTGGGTTTTGTGAGTAGGTGATACAAATTAACATTTGCGAAATGAATATTCTGTAAGATACATACTTATTTATTTATTTCAGGTACTTATATAGTGCCATCAATTTATGCAGCGCTTTACATATATATTGTACATTCACATCAGTCCCTAACAGGGACGAACTGACAACTCATGGGGCCCCCGGGCAATAGGGGATCATGGGGCCCCTGTGTCCTTGCCCAAACTCAAAAAAGCCTATGAAAAAGGTACCAGGGGCATCTCATGGGGCCCCCTACTGACCCCAGGCCCTCAGGCAGTGCCCGAGTTTCCAAATGGTCAGTCCGCCCCTGCTTCCGCGTGTGATGCAGGAGTCCCTGGCCACGGCACAGTGATCTGAAGAAATGGCATGGGTATGTTGTTCATTCAGAGCACGTGAGCTGGTTCTTAAATATAGCTAATAACTCCTAAACGGTGCATGTTTAGGGGATATTCATTTTACCTACAGGAAGGTTTTATAATAAGCTTAACTGTAGGTAAAAGTATTAAAAAAAAGTATACTACCGCAAATAACCTTTCTTAACCACTTGACAACCGGGCTATAGCCGAATGATGGCTGCAGCGCGCTTGTCCACTCCTGGGAAGGTGTCATATGACGTCCTCCCAGAACGCGCCCCCCCCCCATGCCCCCAACAGCTCGCACCCAGTGCTGTCTGTGATCGCTGTGTCCTACGGACACAGCTGAATACATGACAAGGTAACAGGCCAATCACAGTGGCCTTTTACCACGTGATCAGCTGTCTCCAATGACACAGCTGATCACAAAGTAATCAGAGGAAAGATTAGCATTGCAGCCCCAAAAGTGCCTAGTAGTGGCTCCCATCAGTGCCCATCAGTGCCACCCATCAGTGCCCATCAGTGCCAACCATCAGTGCCCAGCAGTGTTGCCCATCAGTTCGCCAGTCAGTGTCTCCAGTCTGTCAGTCAGTGCCAATCAGTGCCACCTATCAGTGCCCATCAGTGCTGCATATCAGTGCTGCCTCATCAACGCACATCTGTGAAGTAGAAAAACCTGTTTGCAAATGTTATAATAGAAACAAAGAAAAACGTTTTCTTTTTTCAAAATTTTCTGCTCTGTTTTCGTTTATAGTACATAAAAAAAAAAAAAAAAAAAAACCCCAATCACAATTAAATACCACCAAAAGAAAGCACTATTTGTGTGAAAAAAATGATAAAAATTTAACATGGGTACAGTGTTGCATGACCGTGCAATTGTCATTCAAAGTGCAACAGTGCTGAAAGCTGAAAATTGGCCTGGGCAGGAAGGGGGTAAAAGTGCCCTCTAGGCAAGCGGTTAAATAAACATCATTAGAGCATGCGGACTACTTATCTGAAATCAGACAAACCAGCAATCCCACATAAAAATACTCATGGGATTGATTTACTAAAACTGGAGTGTGCAAAATCTGGTGCAGCTCAGCATAGAAACCAATCAGCTTCCAGGTTTTATTGTCAAAGCTTAATTTAACAAGCTGAAGTTAGAAGCTGATTGGCTGCCATGCACAGCTGCACCGGATTTTGCACTCTCCAGTTTTAGTTAATCAACCCTATAATGTACAGGCACCCAGGGTGGGGAGCATTGGGGTTCACGAAGACAATTAGCATTTGATCCAGCATGATGTCTTAATAGCACACAGTTTTGTGTCTAGTCTAATATATGTGCATATCTTTAGACCTCATACATGGTGATCATAGTCACTGCTGCTGTAGACCCTTAATTTATGGTGGGGGGTAAACTGAAGTACCTGTGAAATACCTTTAGGCATGAAGTCAATGACAGCTGGCAGGCTGAGCTGCTGAGAAAATGATCAACGAGATTAGAAAACATGGTCTGATCAATTTTGTTTTTCCCAATATAAACTGGTGTTGGGCCTGCCTGTAGCCTTCTGTACCTACCTCCCCCATCCATCTCCACAGGCATATACAGTTGTGACCAAAATTATTCAACCCCCACTGAAATTGAGTGTTTTGGCCAGTTTGACATTGCTTTTGATCATTCAGTCATCTTGCTTACATTTACATTAAAGAGGCACTTGTAGGTCAGACAAATATAACATAACAGTTATAATGAAATAACCACAAATGTCTTTTCTGTGCTCACAGCATTATCAGTTTTATTCAACCCCCAAGTGACATTCAATCTTAGTACTTAGTACAGCATCCTTTTACAGTTATAACAGCTTTTAAACGTGAAGCATAGCTTGACACAAGTGTCTTGCAGCGATCTACGGGTATCTTCGCCCATTCTTCATGGGCAAAGGCCTCCAGTTCAGTCACATTCTTAGGCTTGCGCACTGCAACTGCTTTCTTTAAGTCCCACCAGAGGTTCTCAATCGGATTTAAGTCTGGTGACTGCGATGGCCACTCCAAAATGTTCCAGCCTTTCCTCTGCAACCATGCTCTAGTGGACTTGGAGGTATGCTTGGGATCATTGTCCTGTTGAAAGGTCCAACGTCTCCCAAGCCTCAGGTGTGTGACGGACTGCATCACGTTTCCATCCAATATCTCCTGGTACTGAAGAGAATTCATGGTACCTTGCACACGCTGAAGCTTCCCTGTACCTGCAGAAGCAAAACAGCCCCAAAGCATGATTGACCCTCCACCATGCTTCACAGTAGGCAAGGTGTTCTTTTCATCATAGGCCTTGTTCTTCCTCCTCCAAACATAGCGTTGATCCATGGGCCCAAACAGTTCTAATTTTGTTTCATCAGTCCACAGAACACTATCCCACAACTTTTGTGGTTTGTCCACATGGCTTTTGGCATACTGCAGTCGACTCTTCTTATTCTTTGGAGACAGCAAGGGGGTACGCCTGGGAGTTCTGGCACGGAGGCCTTCATTACGCAGTGTGCGTCTTATTGTCTGGGCTGAAACTTCTGTACCCACATCTGACAAATCTTTTCTCAGTTCCTCAGCAGTCACACGGGGACTTCTCTCCACTCTACGCTTCAGGTAGCGCACAGCAGTCGAAGTCAGCATCTTCTTTCTGCCACGACCAGGTAGCGTTTCAACAGTGCCCTTTGCCTTGAATTTGCGAATGATGCTTCCTAAGGTGTCTCTTGGTATGTTTAACATCTTTGCAATCTTCTTATAGCCATTGCCCTTCCTGTGAAGAGAAATCACCTCTTCTCTTGTCTTCCTGGACCATTCTCTTGCCTTCACCATGTTTGTAACCACACCAGTAAATGTCTAGAAGGAGCTGAGTATCACAGTCATTTTAAAGCTGCCTAATTGGTGCTTATTATGCTTGATTGCTGCTCGGTGACATCCACAGGTGTTTTCAATACCTGATGGAAAGCACCTGTATGAACCTCTGTTCTTCAGAGTGGTAGTCTTTAAGGGGTTGAATAATTGTGGCAATGAAGAAACCACATAAGAACCATTTACTACTGTATTACATAAACAATTGATGTCATTTTAGTTGCATTTGGGTAGTTACAACGTCCTTGTAGGATTTGATTCTGAATACAATTCCAAATGTACACTATAGTCCCTAAACCCCTTTACAGCATTGGGGGTTGAATAATTTTGGTCACAACTGTACACAAACATTTGGTAGGGCCAGGCATTCAACTACTTTGCCTAAAGGCAGTCAGATGGTGTGTCTATACCTGGCATGTAATTGTCACGCAGTGATTTTATGGTGGTATATTACAAGCAGCATGAAGATTCAAAGTACTTGAGGGTACCAGTGTTGGGCAAATGTCAACAAGGAGGTTTAGAATGGTTTGTCCAGTTCACCAATATGTTCTGTTGATACTTCAGAAATAAGCACATTATTGCCATTCAGTGAAATTGTAAGCCAGCTGAAAAATCTTTCACTCCAAAGAAGAAAACAAAAACCAGTTGGCACAGCTGCGTTTTTTTCATGTATTTTTTGGCGTGCTTTCATGCATTTTTATAATTTGTGCATTTTTAGTTTAGGCCAGTGCCAAGAAATATCTCCTGGGACATCACCGAGCATGTATTTCCTTCGAGCTTCCTGTCTGTTTTTTGTCTTTATTGTTGGACCGCAATCTTGTGACATGGCTGCTGTGCCAATGTTTATGGCAAACGTCGCAGTTACCACCTTAATTTTAATTGAAAAAGAGGTGAAGAGGTTAAAACATTCCAGTCCTCAAACAGTTCATGGGCAATTTCCTTTTATGCCGTTTGTAGGTTGCTGTTGTCTTTGTGTTGGCCGGAATCATACATCAGTGCCCCCACTCAAGTGGATGAAGGCCTCGATATCCAGTATTGGGAGGTTATCCAGTTTTGGGAGGAGCTACAGCGTCGTGACATCACGCCGCCGGCACCACGTGGGTCCCGGCGGCCATCTTTGGAAACTGCAGCTGAGTGGTTGTACCATTGCTGGCAGCGGATGTCGGATAGTGAGGGATACCAGACCAGACCTTAAAGGGACCTCCAGGTTTCTGAGATTGATATTTCTAAATGCGCACTTTGATTGCGCATCTGGTGAGTGCGCAGTCTTTATAATTTGAGCTTTATCACCACCTTACCGAATCAGATCACCAGATATTGAAGATCATCACGATCTTCCATGCACCTTATTTTGGACTATATTTTGATGATTATTTCCAGCACTTTGCACACCATTGGTCACTATTTAGTGACATAGTGAATCACTGTTCATATCACTTCATTTATTGATGTGTTAGCACTTCATCACTGGAGTCACCTATGTATATTTTATGGGGTATATGCAGAGAGGGACTGACCATTTGAAAACTCGGGCACTGCCTGAGGGCCCGGGGTCAGTAGGGGGCCCCATGAGATGCCGCTGGTACCTTTTTCATAGGTTTTTATTAGTTTGGGCAAGGACACAGGGGCCCCATGATCCCCTATTGCCTGGGGCCCCCAGTTGTCAGTCCGCCCCTGGGTATATGTGCAATTAATATTGATAAGAGTGACACGTTTTATATGATATCACTAAGTCACTTTATTTTGTTATCTGATGTTTATGGTTTTATGATCATATTGGTTCTTTCATTTTATTATATGTATCTTTATAATTTTATATGGTTATTTTTAGCGCTACACCCTGCTATATATTGTCTTTTTGGAGGTTTTTTGGTACCTTTGGTGTTTAGCAGCTTTTTGACTTTTAGCACTTGCTTATCTTTGTTTGTGCTATCCAGGATTGGGTGGCCATGTGTCTCCATCTTCTCTGCAGCCTATGTAGAGTAGAAGTTGCTGAAAAAGGGGGTGGGGGCCTGTTGTTATGGCAAAAGACGCAACAAAAAAACACAGTAAAGTGCATGTACAAATATGGGGGTCCTCTTGTCATGTGATGTTGCA